TAAGCCTTTACTCCTCAAACCCAAAGCCCTAAAGCATAAACTCAAAGTCTGTACCTTGAGAATTTGCACTTAGAAGCTCCAAGAACAATTAAAGAATTTCATTTGAACCATTGTCTAAACTCCTTAAGGGGGTTTCTATAGGGGATTGTATAAGGGACTACTATAGGGGTTATTAAGGGGGATACTAGGAGTTTAGACTATAGCTCATTTAGGGTCTAGGGTTAGGTTGCCACCAAACTATGACTTTACAGCTGCCTCAGCTAGCAGGTGTTGTGGGGACAAAAAACCATGACATAGGAGTTGTCCGTTTCCTTTCAGGAAGGACGGTTGTGCAAGCCCTACATACCACACCCATGGTATATGTATGCAGAGTATTAAGGACACTCAGAAGCATTTAGTCCCCCTTAAGCAGATAGACTACGGGGTATATGGGGATCTTATTATGATTTACCCAAAGCTATATTCTATCAACTTGACGGGACAACCGTTGTAATTCATCAGTTTGCAGCATGCTGCAGGTCCTCCCGCCTGCACCGAGCAGGGCTAGGCAAGGATCGAAGCACGATACTTCCCCTTCACTCCGCTTGCTTCCGGGGGCGGGCCGCGATCCCTCGACTCAAAACATGTCCTCTGTCTACGCCCCGCGGCAAGCTGATAGAATGTGCTTAGGCTTAATCCCCCCCATTCATAACCCCCCGAACGATAAGTAGTGCGCCCCACTATGTATACACATACCTATACAAGTACTTTATGGGCGGTATATAGTATTACAGGGTTTTGGGCGTCATTCTTTGGAGGAGGGGGTTACTATCCACGCCTGGAGCAAGGTTCCGCCATGGCCATACGCAACATGTCCTACATTAGACCACGATTTCAGGTTAAAGGTATCGAAGGTTGAACTGAAAAATTTGCCATATGCGCTGCACAAAAAACCAATGAAACCCAGATTTCCATCAGCTGGCAAGGGCACAGAGATCTCTCTCTCAAGGCCGGAACAGCGTTTGCTGCTCAAGTAGGTGGGAGGAATTGAAGTTGCCCAAGTTCGGGAACACCTGCTTCAATGGGAGCTTTTCAAGGCTTAGGATGTAGGACCTGTCGCGTGGAAGCTTTTCAGGCCCTAAACCCTAAACCCTAAACCCTTCAGCTTTTTGAAGCCCATTTTGGGGTTGCTATCCGACACCTTAGGGTTGAACTACAATCTCAGGTTGAAACCATGGGCCCCTGGTATCAGCCCTTAGTTCTGGGATCCTTATTACCTACTATCTACCTTATATGTACCCTTAAGGGTCCCTAGAATCCCCCTAAAAGGGCCCATATTAGGGGATCATACTTCGAACCTTACATACAAGGGGTGGAGGGTCCGGCCTTCAACTGGGATCTATTTCAGGCTCCTTTCGAAAATCCTCATGCAGGAAGTCTATCCGTGGGTTCATTATTGCAACCCCCGCTCCATCGACCAACAAAATTGTACAACATGTTTTCAGGGGGATTGTGTGATTGTCAGTCTTGAGGGAATTGCCATTGACTGTCAATGAAACCATCACCTGGACCCCGTAAAGTAGGTAAAGTAATGTCCCCAACCCCCCAAAATAGTCAAAAAGGCCATTATCTTACATACTTTTGGGGTCCCAAAGCCTAAACCCTAAACCCTAAACAACCAGCAAGAAGCAGCCAGAAAGGGCTTTGAGTCGGGAAGCCTGCAGACGCTGCGAGGGCACCATGCCCATCCACTCCGCCAAGGGTACCATCCTTGAGGAGGTTTACGGTTTAGGGCTTATAAGTTTAAAGTTTGGGGTTTAGGGTTTAGGGTTTAGGGCTTATATGTTCAGGTATAAGTTTAGGGTTTAGGGCTTATAAGTTTAGGGTTTCGGGCTTAGGCTTTAGGATTCAGGGCTTAGGGTTTAGGGTTGACCAACTCCCTGACCAACTCCAAAGGAACTACATAGGATGCCTTGAGTAACAAATACACCAGGTTCTGTAGGATGAATCAGTCAGGAATAAGGGGTTTTGGGAGCTCAGGAAGACGTGTGCGGGAAGTGAATCCTGATCATCATCCTCATATGACCGCCTAAGAACATCTATACCATATTGCCTCCCCTACTCCCCCTAACCGACAAGTCATAATGGGGATGTGAGGAGCTAAAAGATGGCTGCACTAGCAGAGAAGGGCTCCCACGCAGACTGAGAGTCCAAGAGCTACTTGGTCTTGGCCTGTTCCGTAATATGAGCGACAGCTGCTAGGCAAACGGGAATGGAGGTTGTTATGTACTTCAAGCGCAAGAAACCACCATGTAGCATGCGCAGGGTGCCACATGTGCCAAGCTCCATAGCAGATGGTCCCAATTCGAAAGCCCAAACTGCCAGGGTCTGCGTCCTTCACCATCAGGCAACAGATGCGCTCCATAGCCCCGAAGCCACTGACCCAAGGCGCTAAGCCAGTCAAAACTGAATCCATAGCCCTGGACCCCAAGTCTCTAGACCACCAACACCCTTCCACAACCCTGCAGAATCTCCATCAAACTATCCAACAATAAGAGCTGGGCCCCCTTTAGAATTGTGCTCCTTATTGGGATCTGCCTCAGCTAGAAGTCCCAAGAAAGTCTTGCGTGCCCAATGAGACTATAAAGGCGTGCCGTCTTAAGCGAAGAAATTGTAAATGTCCCATACTCCTCCCAGCAAGATGCACAGTGCTACTCAGCTGAGCCACATGTTCTCAAGCGGGTATCGTGGGATCAGGCGTCCGCGACCAGCGTCCATCGGTGAATCCTGACCGGCAACTTCCCAATCAGGTTTGTAAATCGCGGCATAGCGAAAGAGGAAAAGAAAGACAGGAAACTGAATTGCAGCAACCAAAATGACATGGCGACAATGATGATGAACCAAAGACATTCAAGAGAAAGCATCACTAGAACAATTGAAGATCTTACCTCATGTCAGTTCAGACTCCTCGGCCAAGTGCGGGAAGGCATTGTAGATCTCGCCTCCCTTCATTGCTCCAGACAACATGAACCTGAGGGTGCTACAAAGCGACATGAGTAGTGTTTTTTTGGTGGTTGAACCTAGTAAGATAATATTCCTTATATAAAATACTATACCCCAAAAGGAGGAAATAATCTTACTCTGTAATGGGTACCATAATATCCCCAAATATGAAATACTACTCATATGGGGTTTAGGGGTTAGGGTTTATGGGGCCTAGGGTTTAGGGTCATGTGAGATACAGCCAATGTTCGTACATAATTTGCTGGATATGAATTCCTCACTAAGGACTATATTTGGGACTACACGAAGCCCTGTGTCCAATGTGAAGGCCCCTTAAGAAGGCCAATATTGACAGTAG